GGCTAAAGAAGCTGTGGTACATATATACAATGGCATATTACTCAGCCATAAGAAGAGATAAAATACTGCCATTTGCGACAACATGGATGGACCTCGAGATAATCATGCTAAGCGATATAAGCCAGACAGAAAAAGGAAAAAATCACATGATATCATTTATATGTGGGATATAAACCTAAAAGCAACAAACAAACAGGATAAACAGAGACTCATGGACATGAACTATAGACTAGTGCTTACCAGATGTGAGAAGGGAAGGGGTAGGTACAGGGTAAATGGTGGGGTAAATGGGGTCAAATATGTGGTGACAAATCTAACTATGGGAGGTGAACACAATGTAAATATATATGCCTTACTGTTAAAATGTTCAGCTGAAACATTGGATTTTGTTAACCAGTGTCACCATAAAAATATAAATTAATTAATTAAAAATAAAATCAACAAACAATTTAGCAATTGAAACAAATTGTCTCACCTATTTTACTTGCCATTCATACATTAGACCTCTTATATTTACACATCTTTTAGAACAGTGAATTTGTCTTGGAAGTACTGAATCTGTCAAAGGAAAGGTGGATAGGGGTCCACTTTACTTCAAGTGAATGGGAAGTCATTTGCCTTTCATATCTTAGATAAATTCTAAGATACTTACTTTATAATTGCTTTATTGTCAGGAGTTTACAATGAAGTCATAAGAGAAAAAAATCGATCAGCCTAATTGCCTCAAGATGGATATGTAATTCATAAATCTCTTGTCTAATGGATATAGTAATAGGCCACCTGTTTCCCCTGTCTCCTTCCCAGTTCTGTATATGAATGACTAGTGACTAGTGCTTCCTGAAATGAACAAACCCAGACATCAAAGTGCTATAATGTTATAATTTAATGGTAGCTCATCTCAATTTTGAATCTTACATAATCAGATAATTCTAGATTTTGAGAAAAGATCCATTTCTTTCTTATCACTTTCATTGAACAGTCATCATTAAGGTATCCTCCAGATAGAAGTTCTGGGCTTAAAGGCCCCAATTAGGAGATGAATAAGAATTTAGTAGGGCAAATGAGATGGGGACAGGCAGGTGGTGGGGGTACTTGGTTGATTTGTTCACAACCAAATTCACAGCACGCTAGCATAACTAAATTTAAAATTTAGTCAGGCTGCTCAGCAATTATTTTCCACTATTTGACTTCAGTATTGAATCTAGCACAACATTCGAAGACTGCCATACATGATCCTATCCAGAATAAATATAAATTAAGTCTAAATGAGCCTTGCCACTTTTAATGTGTCAGAGATTCGGCTCGAATAATTCAGAATTTGTGATGCGTCAGACTTCTCTAAAAAAAGGGAGGTGCAATTATTCTTGCCAGATTAACATGTTAGCAGATAGAGGGAAGTGTGTTTGATCCACTTAAAACACATTGTTTCAAGCACCTAAGAACTCATTCGCTACAAATATTAACTTGGATGGTTATAAATTATCATGATAAGCTCAATGAAATTTGTCATTGCGTTTATAGTAAAGATGTTTTTTTTCAGGACATTTATTATTTGCTCTACAAAAACCCATGGAATATATGTTTCTCTCTGGTCTCATTATTAGGAAAAGTTGCACTTACCAGGAAAATAGACAGTATTAATTAGAGATTCATCTGTGGGCTTTCTAGTCAGGCCTAGCTTTGATTAAATACTAACTTTGTCACTTCCTGGCTGTATGACCTTTAGAAAGTCAGTTGACCTATATGATCCTCAGTTCCCTCACAACTAAAATGAAAATAACGTACTCCTGTGGTGGGGATTCGATGAATTTATACATGAAAATTGCTTAGAACTCACCCGGCCAGCACTATCCAGGATTTGGAGAGTGTGGGGCTCTCAGCCAGTCAGAGCAGTCCCAGGCTGGTGCCATGTCCAAAACCTGCAGACTGCTCTCATTTTTAGGGGCTTCACCTCCCTGTTCGGGGCCAGCTTCTACCCCTCTACTTTTGGCTCCTAATGTAGCTGGAGGAGTATTGGAACAAACAAGCTATAAATCAAGGTGGTATTGCTGAAGAAGCTGTGCTGCCACCATTGTTAAAAGTGTGGTTTGATCTATTTGGCAGAAAATGAGAAGGCTGTCACCAACTTAGATTATGAAAGTAGACATCTTAATGTTCTTAATGCTGCAGCACATCCAGTAAATCACCTCACTATAGAAAAATGGCTGGAGAAGAAAACTCTATAATGCCACAAATAAGAGTACTATGCAAGAGGATTAACATTTCCATTCCTCAGTATAAAAAGAACGCTGGAACAAATCACACCGTTAGGAAGGTTATCGTGATTCAGTGCACTTTCTAAAAATGAAGGTGTCTCACTCAGCTGTGTTTAGAGGAGATTTACTTATTATTCAGTCTCTACTACTTATCCAACCTGTGTGATTTGAATACAAGCAACCAGGAGACGTGGGAAGATCCTAGTCTGTTTTTCCATTTTCCAAATAAGAAATTTCAGTGAAAAATCGTGCTGAGCAGCCTCATAGGGCACGTTGAAAATGTTAAAGTTGATAAAAATCTTTGAGGACAAGGTTCATTGTCCTCTTTAAGAATAAACAGTTCATGAGCTATCTTGTTGAAGGTTGCTGCATGTTGGAAAATAAATATGAAGCAATTCAAACTAAATGTGAATATGTGCATAGTAGAAATCAATGTTGAATTAACAGAAATGAAAATGTGTATATTAAAATGATTTATTTTTACTTTACAATGGTATATTTTTTTGCAAATCCTTTCTTATAAACTCATTAAATTATACCAAGATGTAAAAGAAAGAAAGGGAGGATGGAAGGGAGGGAAGGAGGAAGCGGGGAGAGAGAGAGAGAGAGAGAGAGAGAGAGAGAGAGAGAGAGAGAGAATTTAAGCAATAGCTCATGCAATTGTGGGGCTGGTGTATCTGAAATGCACGGTCCGAAGCCTGGTGAGGAGCCTGGATATTTAAGGAACAGTTGCAGTTCCAGTCTTGAGTTCAGATTTAGTCTGAATGAGAAAACAGGTAAAAAGAAGACAGAGAAGAACATAAAAAGATCCCAATCAAACATCTAGAGATGAAAACTCCATGTCTCAGATGAAGAATACAAGGGTAGAGATGAACAGCAGATGCAAAACTGCAGAAGAAGAGAACTTGAAGACAAAGCAATTGAGACCGCAAATTAAAA